ATAGGCATAATAATAGCACCCCTAAAGAGATCGACATCCTCATGCCTGACACCTAGCAAATATTATATGTGACCTGACAGTTGTGATTAAGGATCATGAAATGGGGCAAGTATCCTAGAAGGTCTCCATTGGTGGGCCAACGTCATCCCAAGTGTTTTTTAAAGGCAGGAGGGTCAGAGTCAGAGACACGACAAGGGAAGCAGAAATTGAAGTGATGCCATTACTGGAAGGGAGCCATTAGCCCAGCAATGTGGGCAGCCATTACAAGCTGGAAAATTCTCTGCGAGAGCCTCAAGAATGCACCCTGCAGACTTCTTGATGTTAGCCCAGGAGACCCACTTTCAGACTTTCAACCCCCAAAATTCTAAGGTACTTGTGTTGTCTGAGGTCACTAAGCTTATCATAATTTGTCACAGCAGCAATAGGAATACAGACTTTCCCATAACACCCCTGGCCTGTCCCCACTCTTTACTCTTCTCCCTAGAGTTTCACTGAGAAGCCATATAGTTAACTCAGCCTCTCCTTACTCCCTTCCTCCTAGGGGCAGCCCTTGCAGGAAGCATATACCTCCCTGGGGTTCTCCAGGCCATTGCTTCTACAGGCACCAAACCCTGTGCAGGGTGGGTGGAAGGTGTGCGGTCTTTCAGCACTGCCTATGTTTGGATGAGTATCCAGTTCTGGAGGTTGGTACAGGGAACCCACCAAAGAAGCAAATGTAAGCCATATGCTCTGATCCAGCTATAATCAGTAATAAAGCTAATGGATTCACCCCCACCTGTCTGCTTTACTTCTCACATGATTCAGAACTCAGGTGGACAAAGGGAAAGAACCCCGTTTTAAGCATTGAGATTCTCAAAAGTTATGCATGATGCTACCATAGAGATTCAATTCTTAGGAGAGGAAATGGGGACAGAAAGATAGCCCTTTTATTCAGACAATATAGAAGGCTGAGATTGATATATTTAAGAGTCAACATGGAAGACAGACTGCTATCCTCAAGGTATCCTTTTACAAGTAAGGATTCTAAATCCTTAATCTACCTGCACCTAAAACCACCTGCACCTCAGACTGCAGGTGGAGGTGATCAGTGGGTCTGGCTTTCGAACATTAGAGAAAGCAAGACTACAGCTGGCATTCTGGACACACAGCTCAGAAAAAACCTAAAGAGCTAGCCTAAAATGTATCCACGGTCTTTTTTTCAAATAGGCAAATATCATACCACAAGCATGTGAGTTGGCATTTTCAGTTTTGCAAAGAAGGAAAGGCAATCACCCTCAAATTTCTCAACCAATTTCACAAGATGGTGCTCTGATGATTCCATCATGAGAATTCTCTTTGAGGCTACAAAGAGAACTTGGAGACAAACAAACATATGAAGCAGTTCTTTGGGGTCTAATTATTGCTGATTTTGTTAGAGCAAATATATGAAATTCCATTCTAATCCCAAATAACATGGAGATACTCATCATCCTCATGATAGGCATAAAGAAAACAAACATTTTGTATCTATTTTTATTAATTTTTTCAGTCAGAATAACATATTGATAAGACCATTAAGAGACATTGATTGAAATTATCAATCATTTCACCAAATTAGGAAAGCACTTCCCAGCTGTGGATTGATCCCTGAAGAGCCTGGCTCTAATGATCTCCATCATTATCGCAGCTAGGAACAGCCCATGGGGAGCCTCAGCCCCCAGGGTGAGAATTTACAGCCCAAACGAAATTTCATTACTCAATAAAGTAGAAAGCAACTAAGTCTAAGATCATCACTCCTTCCTTCTCTTCTTTGTTCATTCAGTTTTTAGAACCCTCCCTAACTTACTGCATTCCAGAGAACAACTCAACGAAATCAGTTCCTCTCTGAAGAGTAATTTGGAGTGTGTGGTTAACTGGGTGAAATGCAGACCATACCGAAAACTAAGTGGATAGAGAAGGTGGACGTATAGCTAAGAGCAAGAGCTCTGCCTTGGAAAGTGGCAACACAGAAGAAATGGGAGGAATAAACTCCTTCTCTGTTTCTCTGTAAAAAAGAGAAAAAGATTTTGTAAACAATTAGTTTTGAAGAAGTATTTCAGTAGTTAGGCTCCATGGCATCTGAACAGAGCACTGTTATGTGCACAGACTGACTTGAGTTACTCAAGATTAAGTCACGTTATAAGGAGGGCTTTTGTTATAAGCAAATTCCCATTTTTAGACAGTAGGAAAGAAACTTAGTAGATATTAAGTCACCAGCTTTGAAATTAATTGGAATAATGTAGTCCTTAAGGAAATGATGTATGGTCAAGGAGCGTTTTTATCTGTTCTTTTAAGTCCACAGGAAATGAGACCCTGGGAGGGATCCTTTCCAACCAGGGTCATGTTGGTGGACATTAGATAGAATAATGTTCATGATATCAAGTTCTATCACAGGAAAGTATGAGAAATTTAAATATATATTATCTACAAAATGTACAGTCCCTTTTTAATTTCATCTACCTTAGTACTTTGGTTTATTCAACATACATTTATTGAGCACCTACTATATGCCAGGCTGAGAGGCTCAGAAATACATTAAAATACAAAGACCTTGCCTTTAAGACACTTGATATATGTAAGACAAACATGTAGAGCAGAGGGAAGAGTATCTGTGCTAGCTACTCTTGGCCTTGAGGCATGCTAGTCACTATTCCAAGTGTCATCCTGGTTTGTCAACTGCTAGTTACTGGTCTGCAAGGATTTCAACACAAAGTGAGACTATACCTTTAGAAAATTTTATGTAAGGTTGAAATTACTGCCATATCTAAGCATATGATCACTTTTCTAGTAATCCATTTATTTTGTATGTTACATAACTTCAGACTATAACATATTTGTAATTAAAATACATATATGTGAATATGTATATGTATGTACATGTGTATATGTGTATATATACATACATGTACATATAACCAGTCCTTAAGCACAGAGCTTTTGAGAAACACTACTTAACACTTTAGAGAGTTCATATCAGAACTAAGTTAATCTGTGCAAATAGCATCACTTTAGAATCCTTTCCCACCCCACCCTCACAATTCACTCCAAAAGATTAGGTAAATGTTCTTATAACAACTCATTGCAAAGTCCAGAAATATGCCTAAAAACTTTCTTTTAGCTTATAGCCTGGGAGCATGCTGGCTATCTAGGATCATTAGACAAACTTTATTTGTCCTGCTCAGTATCTTTAAATTTTTTATCCCCCTATTGAAAATTTACAAAATTTCAAAAACAAATCTAGATAATTGTCTTTTCTTAGAAAATAATAAAATGTGGGAACACAGGCCTATAGCCCACAGGATTGTGATCCAAAGAAATGGAACCCACGGGCACTTCGGTGGCTCAGTCAGTTTAGCATCTAGGCTTGGCACAGGTCATGATTTCATGGTTCATGAATTTGAGCCCTGCATCTGTGCTGACATCTCAGAGCCTGGAGCCTGCTTTGACTTCTGTGTCTCCCTCTCTCTCTGCCCCTTCCCCGCTTGTACTCTGTTTCTCTCTCTCTCTCAAAAATAAACATTAAAAAAGAAAGAAAAAAATGGTACCCAAATCTCTCCTTTGAGTTGCATACTTGTCCTCTGTAGATATTTGAATTTAGCACATTTACTTTTTTTCATTTTCTTGGTCTCTTTGGGGATGTCAGTACATCCCAGCTCATCCCCTATAGCTATATTGCTTATAACTTTTTGCACCCCAAATAGGAAACTAGGGACCCCTGTGGTAAATAAAATATGGACAGGTTGTAATTTTCAAAAGCAGAATACTAGTTTTGGTTCAAGAAATTCTGAGGTGATGGGGAAAATGAGAGGTTTTCCAAATACCACTCAATAGAGATAATCCCTAAAAAGTTGGATGGTAAAAACCATACACTCCTGGAGTGTAACAGGGAAGAAATTTTGCCTATCAAACTGAACTCCTAGAAGAAAAACTTGAGAAACTATCCTTTTCCTCATAGCATCTCCTAATTTCATGAAGATTTATTCACTAAACAAATGTTTATGTAGTACTTGCTATGTAGCAATCCTATACACCATGGATTCAGTTGTGGACAAAATTAAGTCCTCACCGTTATGGAACTTACATTCCAATCAAGAGACAGAGACAATAAACACCCCCAAAAATGTATGAATAAGTAATATCATTTCAGACAGTAACTATGGTGAAGAAAACAAAACAGGACAACAGAATACGACATGACTGGGTATTTGTATCAGGGAGAAGTGGTCCTCTATAGCGGTTGGCAAAGGACTCAAAAAAGATGACGTTTTATTATAAGACAAAAATTAGGAGAAGACACCCACATGGACATTTTGTGGGACATAAAAAGTCACAGAAAAGGAGGAAATGGGGAACTGGCAAGGACATATTTAAGGTGGTCAGCCAGACTGATGAAATGAAGAAAAACAGAGATGGTCGACTCAAGCACCTACAGGTAGTCTGGTACACAACCTCAAGAAGAGAACGGACAAAGAGATTTCCAGGCTAAGGAAAGAGCACACAGGTCCTGAAATAGGAGCAAGTTTGAAATTTCACGGAACTTATAAAGGTTTCCACATGTTTCTTATTCTTCTTTGGAGGACTTTTTCTAAATTGCCCCAGGATTCTCAGCAAACCACTACTGATAGGACAAATTGTCATCTACTGACTTTAGCTAGTCCTTATTATTTCCACCATGTTTTCACCTTTGCTTCTTCTCCATGCCACTCCCCAGTACCTGATAACATCCCTGTCAGCACCATCATCACTAGGACCAAAGTCTAAGACAAAAGTTTGAATTTACTGCCAAGTGATACACCAAGTATTGACAGTGAGTCAGGTATGTGACATCCAGGCACAAAAATGGGAGTGGTATTTGAAGATTTGTCCTAATTCTATTGTGCACATCTTAATAACCCATGTCTTAAAGGCCCCTGATGAATTTCAATGGTACAGGAAAACTTTTGAAAATTATGTGATGGTAGTTTTTTTTCTCGGGACAGTAGAGGCCGTGTAGCATCACTGTTACTCTGAGGAGAGAACAGTCGGTAGAGGGATGCAAAAATGCAGAGCAATAAAACCTTTAACTTGGAGAAGCAAAACCATACTCCAAGGAAGCATCATCAGCATCACCACCACCAACAGCAACAGCCACCACCGCCACCAATACCTGCAAATGGGCAACAAGCCAGCAGCCAAAATGAAGGCTTGACTATTGACCTGAAGAATTTTAGGAAACCAGGAGAGAAGACCTTCACCCAACGTAGCCGGCTCTTTGTGGGCAATCTTCCTCCTGACATCACTGAGGAGGAGATGAGGAAACTATTTGAGAAATATGGGAAGGCAGGCGAAGTCTTCATTCATAAGGATAAGGGCTTTGGCTTTATCCGCTTGGAAACGCGAACCCTAGCAGAGATTGCCAAAGTAGAGCTGGACAACATGCCACTTCGTGGAAAGCAGCTGCGTGTGCGCTTTGCCTGCCATAGCGCATCGCTCACAGTCCGAAACCTTCCTCAGTATGTTTCTAACGAACTGCTGGAGGAAGCTTTTTCTGTGTTTGGCCAAGTGGAAAGGGCTGTAGTCATCGTGGATGATAGAGGAAGGCCCTCAGGAAAAGGCATTGTTGAATTCTCAGGGAAGCCAGCTGCTTGGAAAGCTCTGGACAGGTGCAGTGAAGGCTCCTTCCTGTTAACCACATTTCCTCGACCTGTGACTGTGGAGCCCATGGACCAGTTGGATGATGAAGAGGGACTTCCAGAGAAGCTGGTTATAAAGAACCAGCAATTTCATAAGGAGCGAGAACAGCCACCCAGATTTGCACAGCCTGGCTCCTTTGAGTATGAGTATGCCATGCGCTGGAAGGCACTCATTGAGATGGAGAAGCAGCAGCAGGACCAAGTGGACCGCAACATCAAGGAAGCTCGTGAGAAGCTGGAGATGGAGATGGAGGCTGCTCGCCATGAGCACCAAGTCATGTTAATGAGACAGGATTTGATGAGGCATCAAGAAGAACTCCAGAGGATGGAAGAGCTGCACAACCAAGAAGTGCAAAAACGAAAGCAACTGGAGCTCAGGCGGGAGGAAGAGCGCAGGCGCCGTGAAGAAGAGATGCGGCGGCAACAGGAAGAAATGATGCGGCGACAGCAGGAAGGATTCAAGGGAACATTCCCTGATGCGAGAGAACAGGAGATACGGATGGGCCAGATGGCCATGGGAGGTGCTATGGGCATAAACAACAGAGGCGCCATGCCCCCTGCTCCAGTGCCAGCTGGTACCCCAGCTCCTCCAGGACCTGCCACTATGATGCCAGATGGAACCTTGGGATTGACCCCACCAACAACTGAACGCTTTGGCCAGGCTGCTACCATGGAAGGAATTGGGGCCATTGGTGGAACCCCTCCTGCGTTCAACCGTGCAGCTCCTGGAGCTGAATTTGCTCCAAACAAACGTCGCCGATACTAATAAAAATTTCACTGTCTAGTTTCCCAAAAACCCTCAAAAGAAAGACCCTTTTTGGACTAGCCAGAATTCTGCCCTGGAAAAAGTGTTAGGGATTCCTCCCAATAGTTAGGTCTTCCTTGCCTGTACTACTCTAAGGGAGTATGCTGGAGGCTGAGGGCAAGGGAGGGGCGATAAAATTTATCAAAAAAAAAAAAAAAAAAGAGAAAGAAAGAAAATTATGTGATGGTAAATAAAACTTATTCAACAATTGGACATTTGAAATCTTTACCACATGGACCAGAATAGATTTAGGACCTAGAGAGGTACTTTAAAAGCCAAGTATCATCACCAGTTCCAAGAACAACCACACTGTATACTATACAATATCTAAAAAAAAGGAAGCTATCTAATACAATATAAAAATCACTGTGATTATGTTTATCATATTGTAACATGTAATCAAATCAATAAAATTAGCACCCCCCCACCCACTCCCAAGTAAATGATATGGGATAAAAGGTTTCAGAAGTGAAACTAAAAGGAAAATGAATCATTCCAAGAATATGAAATTATATAATTCATTTTTAGAAGATTAAAAATAAAAAGATACTTAATAACTTCCTTCAGTGAAAGGAATTATTTATGTTGGTACAAGGAGTATAATTGAAAAGCAGGTATAAGAACAAGAAAACTGAATACTAGTGTGAAAATCGGCAGATGGTGGGAGATATAGATTATCTCATTGTTCTTGTTCAATATTTATTAAGCATCCTGTTTTCCAAATGCTGTCACTTATGAAATTCCAAGTATATATACCTTAGTGAAGGAAGAGGTAGGGTTTATAGACTCAAAAAACACAACTAAAACGGTAGAACTTTTGAAGTTTGTCTTTGAATGAACTTCCCACCTCTGTTTTAACTCTCCTTTCCAATACTGTTCAACCACCAGTTTTGGGGATGCGACTGGGGATGAGGCAGTGGGTTACAAGCAAAGGTATAATTCAAACTCTGGCCTTCTTTCCAGGATGTCAACTCAAATTACCTACCTTCCATACAAACCCATCAAAATTCTTAGTCCTATCTAGAAAGTAACAATTGGACTCAAGTTTCACATCCCATTGGAAATGACTAATGATGAATTTGAAAAAAATACATGTTATGTATTATATTATTTACACGTAATTTCACAGAAACAAGACAGGTAGCACATAGACTGCAATACAGTGTTAATACGAATAGATGGGATACACATATACCTTTCTGTTAAAAAAGCAAAACAACAACAAAAAAAACACAACCTCTCTGGGTGGCTTCCCAGGCTCACCAGGGCCAAAGGCATCAAGTTGTCCAGCGGCCCACCGGGTGGGGGCCCCAGGGGATGTTTGATTCGGTGATACAAGCTCTCACTGCCCATATTCCTGGGAATTTACATAACATTCTATCTGCGCCTACAGTTTTCCCAGAATGAGTAAGGATGAAGTAGGTATGAGTCAGACCAGAAGCTGTGGGTCATTAACATCTTCACCTCGCAGGCTTCAACTAATGATTCGAGGAAATTGGTTGTATAAAAACCCTAGCTCCCTCCTCCTCAAGTTAGTGAATTCTGACAGGTGTATTTTGTGTGTTTCCCGGGGTTTCCTTGATGGATTAACTTCTAGTCTCCTACCATTGTTGTCGGCATCATGATGTACTCCCTATTGACTGATTTATCTCCTCTGTGTCAATTCTTCACTCCCTTACCAGTGTTCCCTACATCTACCTCCCAAACAAATTCTTTGCACACAGATTTTTGCCTCAGTATCTGTTTTTGAATGAGCCAAATTAAGATACTCTTTATGAACTTACTGCATATAAGATGAACTTGTTTATCCAAATAGATGTTCTCTGTACCGGTGGCTAAGGGGCAATTGTGACCGAGAGGGCTGTCCTATGCATTCTGCCTACATCAGCCTCTTTTTCTCCTACTCAGTTTTCAAGCCATCCCATGTTCCTACCTTGCCCACAAGCATGCTCTGCTTTTTCCCAACCCCACTTATCTCTTCCACATGTGGGATCATGTCTCACTTATTGCTTCAACCACACACCTAACACTCATCTCCAACATAATAGGACCTCAGGTGACTTAACATGTGGAAAGGATGTCCGTGTAAATTCCCTTGTGTTATGATACGTCTCATCGCTCCTTCTTCAAGGCCAAGGTTTCCTTAAGGGGCAAGATGATAAGGATTAGATTAAGTCTTCAAAATATCCTCACTCCTTTGGGCATCTGAGATCTGGACTCTGACTTGGCCTCAGTTACGCCTGAGCTCTTATCCAAAATTACTTGTGGCTCATCAGTGATTTGTGAAGTATGGATATTATCCTTTCACTTGATCTTAAAAACAGAATCTAATTTTTAAATCTTTATTTCTCAAAAGACTAATCATCTTCCATCATTCAAGTCTAAACTCTTCTGTCCACCTGTCTTTCAGGAAAATCCCTACTGAACACCCAACTACAGACTTCAACTGATTCCCTGAACAGCTTGGTTTCACAGGCTGCAGTTGGATATAATTTTCCTGATGCTGAGATTAACTTCCTTCTATTTCTGAGCATTGAGGTCATCATCACCCCCAGCATTGTCAACAAAGATGATGATTTCCATAGACGAAAAAGTTCATAGTGAGTGTATTCCCATGCGTGTCTTTTTAAAAGTATCTCTTAGCTTTATTGTGCTATCCTTGATTCTATTTTGGTTTAAAGGCATTTATAGTATCCTAAACCATAATGAACATCCCTATGGCAGAAATAAAATCTATGTTATAGCTTTCTTTTGAGAGGTGAACATCTTAGCTTTTAAGATACTTTCTCCCATAAAGCAAAGTCTACAGCAGAGATGCACTCCCTTGTGATCTTTCTGGTCACCTTCCCAAACTTCTAACAATTTACGAGTATCTTCCACGTCAATTTCTTGCCAAGATTTTCCAAGTTTCAAATATTGAACAATGCAAAATCAGCCCTGTGTTTAGACTAGCAGTACTAATCCTACAATGCTGCATCTTCAACTTGCAATCCACTGGTCTCCGGAGACGTCAATGCTCATACTGCAAGTTACCTACTTTTTCGCAACATAAAGTGGCAAGCAATTTCCCAGTAGTAAAATCTTGAAGGCTTGCTTTCTAGTCACGTGGATCTAAAAGACAGCTGTGTTTTCCATGAATTCTTTGCTGCATATTACACACATGCCACAGAAACTGGTATCCTTTTCCCATGCTGCTGTTGCTCCAGAAATTTTTCAATCTGTTTCTGAAGCTGCTCTGATGAAACATCATGCAACAAAACGTAGTTGTCTTTTTCTTTCCAAAGAGCATGTTGGGTTGATTCTCATTGCTCTCCAGGACTCAGTGATAAACCTCTTTGCTTGGGTGGGGGCGGGGAAGGGGAGGTTCTCTCTCAACTCTGTCTCCATTCTAAACACAATTCCCAGCTCCTGGTTTGATGGCTTTCCGATTCAGTTTTCTTGTCTTGCCCCACAACATCCCTAAATTGATACGCTTTTCCCCTTCAAATTTCAATTGTCTTGCAATTTCTCTGAAGTGAGCTTGCTGTACAGCTGCTTCACTGACACAAGATACGAAAGAGCATTCAGGAAGAAAAATTAAGGGCTTAGCAAGCATTCCAGTTTGGCTTTCTAAATGAACACTCTTTATATCCTTTGAAAAAAATATCGGGGGACCTACAAAATACAGTTTTGTCAACTCTAACTTACAGGTGTGGAGTTCGTATGAGGGACGGTACAAGAGTGGTTGAGAGCCACTCCACCTTGCTGTAGGTCCTGGCCCCACCATTTACCACCTATTCAATAGTTGCTATTTGTGACCCTGCACAAGTTTCTTATCCTGCTTCCGTTTCCTCATCTGTACAATGAGCAAAAATAGTACTTAATAGGCTAGTGGTAAGGATTAAAAGGAAAAAAATACATATTGATAATTGCTTACCTTGTCATAAATGTTACTAGCTATTTTTATTGGTTAGTCTAGTGCCAAGTCTATTATAAAGGAGAATGTTTACTTTCAGGAGATGCCTGCATGTCATTTTTGGTCATTGGGCTCTGAAGGTAGCCTCTATGTTTTCACCACCTCTATGAATTACTCCCCCAAATCTCACAGTCTTTCTTCATATGCCAGCCAGATGTTTCATTTGCTGAATCCCTTCTCTGTCTCATGTCACTGTTGGCATGCTTTTTGGGTACATGGAACGTCACTGAACAACTGTGTTGAGGCACCAATGGGCTCAATAGGTAATACCTGTCTCCCTCACAGAGGTTCAGGACCAACTGAAAAATGCAGTATCATTAGACAAGTAGAACACCACACTTATTATAAGGAAAAGATTAGGGAAGGTGGCTTGTATCTACAGGGAGCTAAGTTTCCTTCTATTAAATCCCTCAAACATACAGACTTCCCCTTCCAAGTTGTGACTGTAAGCTTCCCAACCTTTACAACAAAACTGACCAGAAAGGTAAGAGCAGACGTGCTCTGTGGGCACATTTGCTCCCAAAGGAGGGAAAAGGAGGAATGAAAACGTTTACGTCCAGGTTCTCCTTGCCAAATCCCTACTGAGACTGTCACATCTCTAAAGAACTTGCATGAGGAAGTAGAAGCAGGCAAAGACTGATATCCCACTGGTGCTGCATCTACCCTGGAAGAAACATCAGGAGTGAGAAGAAGCACTCCTCTCCAAACAGGCTGCAAGCTATTACAGTGTAAGACTGGCCAGTAGTCCTATCAAAGGAGAAACCAAACTGCAAGCTCATAGTCCTATCATCAGAGCCTTGCCTTCCTCCTGTTTCCTGCCCTGTTTCCTGCCCTGTTTTGATAGAGGAAAAAAAAAAAAATTTAAAAAAAAATTATCCGACAAGCCCACATTTGAGTTTTAAATAACTCAGTTTTTCCTCAATTTGATCGGTCTATTATAATCCCTGACATTCTAAGAAGCCCCACAAAACTGTAAAATAGAGCCAGTGCTACAAGAAAGTGTTTTTTGGTGCCACAGATGTACAACAAGTTATGATAGTACAGATAGGCATTACCCACATCCATCCTTCCCTTTCCGTCCCAGACTCACCAAAATGAGATGACACATGACACTGATCACAGCGTGATACAGCATTGTTTCTGACATACCCTTAAGCACAGTGACCCTAGAATT